ATTATATTCATATATCATTACCTTATCTTTTCTTCCGTAGTTTTATTTAATATCAAATTTGACTGGTCTATGTTTGTATATTGTTCTTGTCACATGATGGTAGTTCTTTTTCTTCATATGGATGATATTATCCTTACTATTGCTACACATTCTTTGTTTGAATCCCATTATCCATGTTGAAAATTGACTTTTGATAATGGATCTGGGACCACTGAATTTTTTCTTGAGTATACATGTTCAGATCAACTCAGATGGCTTATTATTATCTCAACATAAGTATCTTAGTGATGAGCTTGCCTGTTTTTGGTCCGTTGGAATGTAAAGCTGTCGCGACTCCCATGGCTTACAAGCAAAAGTTGGCTTATAATGATAGTCCTCCTTGTTTTAATTAATCTCACTATCATAGCATTGTTGGTGCACTTCAATACCTCATTTTTACCAAACCTAACATCTCTTTGCAGTTAGTCAGCAAATGCATGCTCCAACTACCACTCATTTTCAAGTTGTTAAGCGTATTTCGCTGTACTTGACAGGCACCTTGGGCTATGGTTTTCACATTGTCCTCTTTGGTCGTGCTCCATCTCAAGATATTGCTTGTTTCTTGGTGGTTCTTTGATCTCGTGGCCTTCTAAGAAACAACACGTGGCTCGACAATTACTTTCCAAATTGTGTGTGCTTTTTCCTCCAGTTCCTACCATCTATTGTGATAATATTAGTGCTATTTATTTATCCATTAATCCTATTCAGCATCAACGAAACCAAGTATGTGGAGATTGTGCTTCGATATGTTCCTTAATTCTATCAATGAGCTGATATTTTGACTAAGGAAACTGTGTAAGGCAAATGCGTAATTCTACACAAATTGTGAGGATCATAATATATATAAAATGATTTGCACCAAAACTTGTTATTAATTTAGCAACTTGTAAGTTTAATAGGCCCTAAAAGAGTTAAAATTCAAATTATTAATAATAACCTGTCATTTATATATTAAATTTACTCACATTCCTCGTTGACTTGGGATTCAAGTGTCACAATATACATGTATATAATTGTATGAGGGTAGATTAGACTTTTCATTATGCATACTCACGTGTATATATATTGTTAGGTTTCATAATAAGAGGTGAAAAACATTATTTCGCTTTGCTACCATCACCTAGTTCGTGCAATTATCCTCCCTTTCGCCATTAGGCTGTGATTCACCCCCAAAGCCTAAAAAAAAAAAACAAAATAGCCGATGTAAGTACATGCTCTGCCATTCTTTTTTTTTTTTTTACAAAAGAAATATTGGATTTGTGAGTTAGTATTTGTTCAGACTCAAAATCAAATCAAAGATCGAATGAACTTCACCTGCTACTCGTGGAGTAGTGTGGCCCATTCAATGGGCTCAGGTGGGGGAGTTCACATGCTCTGCCGAATCAATCGTTGATCAAGACATATAAGCAAAAATATTTATTGTGAATTACAAATGCATGCCTTGTATAGTCGTCATCTATGCATTATTAATGGGTCCCTCAATACAGAGATTGCCAATTTTAGTATTTAAGAGTTTAAAGTACGTTTGAAATTGTTATAAAGTACTGTGACTATAATTGTGATTATGATTATACTAAATTATATTGTATTGTAATTATAATCGAAAGTTGTTTTGGTATTTGATCATTTATTTTTTAAAAGTACCATGAATTAAATATAATAAATTTTATTAATTATTAATTAAAATTTAAAAAATATTATAAGATA